ATGAAATGAAATATTACAACTTTTATGAGAAAAAGGTCTCTGGATGAGGTCTGCACAAGATAAACCCCTAAACTATTTACAAATATATTTACAAACTATTTAAAACTTTATTTAGTATTTTATTTTATTCTCTTATATTTTATTATCTCACAGAGTTTTTTGAAAATCTATACATATCCTTGAATTCATCCTCACTTAAGTCATCAAATGGATTGTTTTCCCGCTCACGACGAATTCGCGGCCCACGAAAACGGTAAAAATCATGATAATCACCTTCAACTTTAACACACAAAAATGGCTTAGGTTAAAAGTGGACAACTAAAATTAATCCTACCCATATGCAGGATTAAAATCTATCTTGTTTTAGTCCGTGGACTAAAGCATAATTTCTTTAGTTCAGAATTAAAAACTAGTTCTTGACTAAGATTAGTCGCTGACTTATAAGTACTCGAATCAGAAAGATATTTTTCTTAGTCCAGTACTAAAATGAGCTTTAGTCTAAGACTAGCGCTAATACCTGACTCAGAAACCCGCCCTAATAGACTTAAACATAATCTTCACAGTTAACAATGGGATAAGAAGTCTACTTGTGTTGGCTAGTCTATGGTTACTATCTAACATAGATCTTTTGTGCCAAGCACCAATAATTAAAATCCTATTGATTGAGTGAGGCAAAAAACACGTTCTGATTTTAATAGAAACATTGTACCCTCTCGTCTACCCATCTCACTCTGAAAACTATGAAACTATTTGACAGTATAACCTATTTACGTTAAGTATTTATTTTGTTCATAGGCCTGTGTAAATATTGAACAGAAAATCACTATATTGGAAGAGCAAATTAGATAAATAAGCAATCTTTTGTTGTTGAGGGAGAGCTGGGAAAAAGCATTTACGCATACAGGTGGCAGGCCTGTAGCGTGGGACTCCAACGGGTTTAACACAAATACTACCCAATAAATACCTCCTTTACTCTTCGGTCACTAGCCTGGGAACTTTTGCCGCACTTCGTCAGAACTAACCAAATTTTCCTACGTCCGAAGGGCTTACTCCGTGTCTATCCGTTCATTTCTTACACGACCTTGACTGCGATCCGATGTAGATAGTTTCCTCGTCGACTTGAGACATAATATTCCGGACAAAATGCGATCAGCAGTCCTCACCCTCCAGCAAGGTCAGATAAATACGTTAGATAATTAAATAAGATAAATAAATCAGATGAGTAATATATTATTCCTAAAATCGTAATAGGTCTTCATAATATCAAACCGCCAACTTAAACTTGAACTTAAACTTCAGGACCTCCAACTTTTAAAATAAACAACAATGACTTTGATCTAAAAGGACAAAGAACTAACTTATTTTGTTTCCAGCTAAGAAGCTCAAAAACGTTCGTAAGCAGTTTTTAACTTAATTGACTACATGAACCAACGTCATATTAAAACAAATTTTGAATGATGGCCACCAATATACTCTTACAAAAAAAGTGACTTCTTATTTAGGGTTGGGTTTCAACTGGTGAGTCATGGTTGCATCAACAATATGTAGACAGTCCGGACTTGTTCAGTGAGGTTACATTCTGTAATTATTACTTTATATTAAAATATGTCCAAAATAATGGCACCAACAACATTGTTCACCAAAACAATATGTGGCTAGATTTTAACAGATTTAAGAGGCGTGGAACTAAATAAATGAAAGCTTATGGCAATATTAAACACTTATTCCAATACAGTTCAAATCCAAAATGCATACATTTTTAGAACCAAAAGGGAAGATTTTCCTAATGATATAGAAACTGGAGGTATAAACTAAAAAAGAGTTAGGTACGATAGATATCAAAACTCCAAGAAATACGAATAAAAAAAAACACTCCCCCTTTGCTGGCAAATGTAACAGAAGCTGTTTTTATAAAAGAAGAATCCGCCATCTGCAGTAATGTTGAGGTTACATTCCTCACTATAACGAATGATACGATGTTATTTGGAGGCCTCAAGGTATATTTTAATGCATAATCTCACAATCACCTGTACTGAAACTGTTGACTATATTTGATATATTCATGAGATACTAGTGTCCCTGTTGCTCGAATTCGAGCAATTGCCAAGTATTACAGGCGTGTTTTTAAAACGAATAACAGTCATAATTAATTTCTGATGACTTTAAAAGATTCGACTCAAAGATTATGGAAATACTCATGATGTACATAACAGTTCGATGATATAATCACAATTTCTTGTAAATATCTTATCATTTTTCAAAAGCTGATCTTGTTTTTAGTGTTTTCTACAAATAGCCTTACTCATAGCCGCATTAGGTTGTCCATAATAACGATTATAAATTCTAAAAAAAAAAACATTTTTTTATTTATTTTCCTTGGTGGTGTTTTATGACTTTCCTATGTTTCCATAGTTTGCAAATCGGCTCTTTTAATGATAAATAAGAAATGCAGTACAGTGTTAATTCAGTTTTCTTTTTAGTATATCAATTTATCCAGGTTCTCTCGATTTTTCCCATTGTAAAATTTACACCAATACAAATTCAAATAGTAAGTACTAGCTGAACCCGGCAGACGTTGTCTTGCCTTTGACTATTTATAATTTAAGTACCGTAACGTTTAATTGTCTTATTGTATATGAAGTGCTTATAACTAAATTAAAATACGGACGACAACTAATGAAACACATATAGTACAAAGGATGACCGATTCTTTATTATTGCTTTTATATTAATGCTAGTGGGTAGACAATATTTTTGGTCTTTCTATTCGGCTAAATCACGTCCTGGTTGAAGTCCGTTCGCTACGCTCACTCACCCTTAGGTTGGAGCTCGTTCGCTACGCTCACTCTACTTTAGGTTGGAGCTCGTTCGCTACGCTCACTCACCTTTAGGTTGGAGCTCGTTCGCCGCGCTCACTTGCCTTCATGTTAGCTCGTTCGCTACGCTCACTTGCATTTAGGTTAGCTCGTTCACTACGCTAACTCACCTCCATGTTGAAGTTCGTTCGCTATGCTCACTCACCTTTTGGTTGCAAATTAGCTGTTGTCATAAATGTAAAAGAAATAATAGTGCTGCACCCTGTTGGTAATCCTTGTAACTTTAATGCTATTGAACATCATAGAACAGAACCAACTTGTTTAATTGAAACAGCTGTTAAGATTCATTAATTCCATTTCTCATAAGGTTAACATGGGAAACTCCAGAGCCACTGGGGTGGAGCCGATTGGACGGATCACGAAATTGATGGTGTATAAACCTATTCCATGAAATTCTACACGTATGTACCAAGTTTCGTGGCAATCGGTTAAGCGGTGTCTGAGTTTATCACTGCCAAACAAATATATATATATATATATATATATATATATACATATATATATATACAGGGTGATCAACTCAAGGAGGCCACCATTGGGATATCGGAAACGGTAAGAATTAGAGAAAACTTTAAATGGGGGACATTCCTTTATTTTTTGTGGCAGTTAAAAATATGATTTTATTTCTTTGAAATTCAGCCGCCATTTTCCAAAATGGCGGCCAACTTTGAAATTTGTTATGGAACACCCTATATTTAATGATGTTTTCGGATAGAACAGGCAATTTAAAAACTTTTTTATTCTTGACATTTTTTCGATAAACTAACTCGTTTAGGAGTTACAGCCTATTGAAAAATGACTTCCGGTGTACATTTTACATCATGTAGCTCCTAAACAAGTGGGTTTAGAGCGAAAATGCGAAAAGTAAATAAGTCAAATAAGTCTTAAAATTGCATCCACATTCCAAAAAGACCATAAAATACACAGTTTTCCACTTTTCAAGTTTGCCGCCATTTTGGAAAATGGCCGCCATTTTTGAAATAATAGAATTAATAGTTTTAACGAATTTTATGGTCTTTTTGGAATGTGGATGCAATTTTAAGACTTATTTGACTTATTTACTTTTCGCATTTTCGCTCTAAACCCACTTGTTTAGGAGCTACATGATGTAAAATGTACACCGGAAGTCATTTTTCAATAGGCTGTAACTCCTAAACGAGTTAGTTTATCGAAAAAATGTCAAGAATAAAAAAGTTTTTAAATTGCCTGTTCTATCCGAAAACATCATTAAATATAGGGTTTTCCATAACAAATTTCAAAGTTGGCCGCCATTTTGGAAAATGGCGGCTGAATTTCAAAGAAATAAAATCATATTTTTAACTGCCACAAAAAATAAAGGAATGTCCCCCATTTAAAGTTTTCTCTAATTCTTACCGTTTCCGATATGCCAATGGTGGCCTCCTTGAGTTGATCACCCTGTATATACAAACATCCTCTTTTATACTTATAGATTTAATTTCAACCAAGTCATTAAATGTTTGTAGCAAACTTATTAAATTAGGAAACTTATTGACTGTTTACAATTAACATATGTTCTTCTTCTCACTTTTAATTTCTGACAACAGCTGGAGTTTCATAAACAATTTTTGTTTCCCATGTAAATCTTATGGAGAAATACGAAACTTTAAAGAGCCCAGGGCCTCACTCTTTAATTATTTCTCTAAAATGAAAGTTTCCTGCACAACTTCACGTTACGCTCTTTCCAATGGACTACTTAACCATGGAACTACTTAACCGATTGACATGTTTTTGGTATAATTATGATACCAAAAACATGTCAATCGGTTAAGTAATTAGGGAGGAGTAATTGCCACAAAAAACCTGCTTGCGTATTAAATAAGTATAGATTACCAATATTGCACTGTATTACATTTATCTGTATGGTTGACATCGCTTGATTCATGTTTCATATTTGGATTTATTTGTTTAAAATATTGCCAAGTTTACAAATTTCCATACCATAGTATAAACTTAAAACTAAGGTAAACAATTAATTATAAATCTAAAATCTTTGTTTTACAATCGAATTAATGTGTTCATGAGTACGTATTAAAATATGAAAAGTGCAATTCTTACTTAGACTTCGTACTTTAGACTTACAATAAAAACTATGAAAACACGACGTATGATATTAGCTGCTTTAATCTTCTGTGGCAAAACAAGTAATAAACTATGTATTTTTAAACATTGCAATTTGTTTGGTCAGCTTTCTGAATGAGAGCTGATGGTAATTTACGTTCGGTGAGGACTGAGTAGGTGGCGTTGTAGAACAGCTGTTGTTGAGTAACCGTCGAGAGAGACCTGTTGCGACTAAGAAGCCACACCGTATCTGAAATAAAGTAAAGAATTTGAATTGATTAGTTTGCTTTATAAATCTAAGGGTATATTTAAAAACTATGCCAATGATTGCACTGATAATCTAAAAAAATTTGGTGGACTAAACTTTTAATCGCATTAACATCTTAATATGAAAAGTTCGGAGCTATCCACATCACAGAGAATCTCAATTAAGTGTTAGTGGTTATGGATATCTTAAAAAATGAAAAAAAATAAGTTTACGACGTACAAACATTTATACAACTCTGCATGCATCCTAGTTTACCAGTTAATTTGCTGAGATAATTGATATTGGTAAGATATTATACTTGATTTTACGAGAGAGCCAGGCAAGTGACCATGGGATTGCATCGCAGCTGGACCAGCTTATTGTGCACACGATATTATACTTGATTTTAGATTTCTTTCAGTGTTATAAAGCTACAAATTTAAAATCTAGCCGAAAATATTGAATGTGACTTCAGTGCTATTACAGAGTTGCACAGGCATTACTGAACTGTACTTTAACTGAACATTTAAATTATAATGTCACAAAAAAACCAAAGCAGTATTAAATTTTATGCTTTGAACTTTCGTTTGGATATTGTAGAAAACGTATTAGACTTTGATCGAAGGTATGCTACAACCCAAAAAAGTGTACATGTAGCGAGCGATATAAAAATAAATATTTTATGTTGGTAATACAAGGTTTATCAAAATAAAATATACTTGATTTTCTTCTTGATAATGACTAGAAGGCTAGGAATATTGTTAAAAAATGATCACTTACAATGATGAAATAGAAACAAGAAGTTTTCACAAGTATAAACGACGGAGTACGTGTTGTAGTCGGTGTCCAACACCCAGTAGGGGCCGTTCACAGTCAACCCTGCAACAGTTACAGTTCGGCCAAAACTTCTGTGCGCGTGGACGGGTCGCTACTAGCCGAAACGGGTACCGGACCGGCTATTGGCAGTGCTGGGGGTAGGGTCGAGTGAGTAGCAAGACTAAAATGTTTTCACAAAAGTACACCCACCAACTCCCCTCGTCTAGACTCGACCAGATCTGGTCGCGCCGGTCGCGCGCACAGAAGCTTTGGTCCGATATACGGACGATGCTCGTGTAGCATACAATACAACCTGGGGCCCATTTTATAATAAACTACAAGTTACAACTTGTAACTTGTAATTTCCATTCGATTTGCATTGGGCGATCAGCTGAATCTGGTAAAATCTACAATACCAGACACCTGATCTGATCTGATACTACACTGTACCCTATCTGCCCCTATCTACACCTATCGGTAATAAGGCCGAAGCGTTATTAGTGTATGTTTGGAACACGGTCTGACACTTAAGACCAAGTTTATAGTGTTAGTTACTTACTAGATCCGCTCCATGGTCGAAAGCTCGACCAAAGTATGTATTGTGCAAACCTGTATTTTCACCCCACGCTTTAAGTAAAACATGTGATTGGAATTTATTCCATATATTTTGGTTTTCTGTTTATATTTTGTTGTTATTTCGTCACCAACATGGCAACCCATAAGGCCTATGTTATTTTTTTAGTTTAAAATAATTGTTGTGCTTATTTTTCAAATCTCCAAATTTACAGGCAAATATTTTCCTAATAGTATGCGTAGATTGTCCCTGCGATGCACAGGAGCTAAGTAAATAGGTTTTCAATAAACATGCTTGTCTATTAATATATAGGATTAGCCCTAAGTTAAATCTCTATAAGAAAAGTAGAATATCCATTTTTGACCAAATTAGCATAAAAATTCTCAAAATTCAAATAAAACCTACACATAAAGGACCGATAACCTTTCTTAATTCATGCGCAATTCGGACCAGTAGTATGGTCAGACTAGCTGTCATAAGTTTTGCAACTTTTTAAATACAGTATATAAGATTACCTTTCTTTTAACACAACCTGCATGTAAATCGGTCCAATAGAACTCCAGATCTCACTCTTAATAGACTTAAAATTTTACCCCATGTTCAATTGAGAGTCAAAAGAGATTTAAATTTTCGTTTTTATAACACTTAATCGAGTAATATCTTAAATCGTAGCAAAATGGGAAAATGTACAGACAAATATCTTTCAATTGGTACCAACCGCGTGCAATACGTTCCAGTAGTATGTCAGGCTAGCTATCATAAGTTTTGCAAAAGTTTTTTAACATAATCTGTTGTGTGCAAAGGTAAGGCTTTTAACACTTGTTTGTTCTCATTTCCCCCTAATTTGGACATGCCAAATCCAATAAAATTATTTTCAATTTTGAAAAATGCCCCAAAAGGGCCCAATTTGGGGGGTAGGGGTGCTTTTTGAGAAATTTTCAAATGTAAACATGGGTTGTGTGATACATCAATTTAAAGGTCTAATCACCCCGATCATTTTGGTGCAAAAAAAGTTTAATTATCTTTAACCGTATTTACAGGGTGGGTCAAAACGTTTTAAAAAAGGACTTTGAAGTTAAGTACCGTATTACCCTAACTACTGAACGGAACAGCGCCAAATTTCTTTCCAAGCTTATTCTTGAGCTACTCTTTAAGATAACTTGTAGTAAGGGCATTTTCCAAGTTATTTTCTAATTTTTAAAAAATCTCAAATTTTAAGAATAAAAGAAAGCTGAAAACTCAAAATTCTTAAATAGCAAGGTATAACAAATTTCATACCACGTGAAAGGTCCTTTTTTAACAAACATTTTACGTATTTAAGTTTTCTTTCTATCTCTTACCGTTTAAAAATTGCAGTGGAAAAACATAATTTTCCATGGTAAAATTATAACTAGTTTTCTAATAAAACACATTGCACTTTGTTCAACGATGTAGTAGGATTCATAACAAATTGATCGACTACTTTTACGTGTGTCAGAATTCATCTTGGACCCTTCATCCTGTTCTTTTCTCATTGGTAACTGAGCCAGTTTCAGAAAACTTCCTAACTAAATCATTTACAGCCATATGACTCAAGGTTATACCTGGATATCTATTGTTAAACACTTTGCAGTTATCCTGGAACACTTTTGTTATGACCAATAAGTAAAATAAAGTATATTTTTTTAAGTTTACACCATATTTGATTAGGTACTACAGGAAATGGTACTTTTGAAATTAGTACTACCATTGACTAGTCAATGGTACTACAGAAAGCGGCCCACGCTTGGGTTTTTCTCATCAGCTATAAAACTTGTTTCTCACAAAGTAAAACGTAATGACTAGTTTGCCTATCTGCCTAAAAATAATTATGAATTGTTTCCTTCAGTTATTGCACCATTTAATGTGTCTAGAGACGAATTTTGGCTGTTTTATTAGAAAACTAGTTACAATTTTACCACAGCAAATTATGTTTTTCTACTGCAATTTTTAAACGGTAAGAGATAGAAAGAAAACTTAAATACGTAAAATGTTTGTTAAAAAAGGACTTTTCACGTGGTATGAAATTTGTTATACCTTGCTATTTAAGAATTTTGAGTTTTCAGCTTTCTTTTATTCTTAAAATTTGAGATTTTTTAAAAATTAGAAAATAACTTGGAAAATGCCCTTACTACAAGTTATCTTAAAGAGTAGCTCAAAAATAAGCTTGGAAAGAAATTTGGCGCTGTTCCGTTCAGTAGTTAGGGTAATACGGTACTTAACTTCAAAGTCCTTTTTTAAAACGTTTTGACCCACCCTGTAAATACGGTTAAAGATAATTAAACTTTTTTTGCACCAAAATGATCGGGGTGATTAGACCTTTAAATTGATGTATCACACAACCCATGTTTACATTTGAAAATTTCTCAAAAAGCACCCCTACCCCCCAAATTGGGCCCTTTTGGGGCATTTTTCAAAATTGAAAATAATTTTATTGGATTTGGCATGTCCAAATTAGGGGGAAATGAGAACAAACAAGTGTTAAAAGCCTTACCTTTGCACACAACAGATATGGAAAGTTTTCAAATGAACACCCTGTATAAGATTAATATAGTTTTTTGCTAGTAATTGCTGTAGAGGACCGAAGGGATACGCTCCTGATAATATATTGAGATTGTGAAGATAATTAGGGTCAATGTTAATGTCAGTTTAAACATTAACCTTCCCCCGGGCAAGTAATTACTGTAATAGCTTATGATACTCATGGCTATATATCGAGGGTTCTCTAAGATCGTAGGAATCAACACCTCTCTACTGGCTCATTCATTGCTGTTAACAATTTTGTCATGGTTTAACTAAGTGTAGTTCATTTTTTATGATGTTATTTAATGACCTTTTTTGTACGGAAACAAAAGCTCGTTTGATACAAATGTGGAATTATTCTATTCAACTCGTAGCTTTATTGTATTAATTTGAACACAGATACTGAAATTATGTAATAGGTAACAAAAAGACGTGTTTAGTGAATAAAAAAAAAAATAAATAATGAGCTATTAATAGTTATGTACATACAGCCAAATTTGAAAGATACGGTTAGCTTAGCTTCTTTTTTTGCCGGATTCGTGAACTTAGCCGTTCCATTGACTCCACCCCATTTGTTGTTCCTGGAACATGTTACAAGTACATTATGTAGATCAAACTATTATTGAAACTTTTAACGGTCTTGTCAGTTTTAAACAGATATGTATATAACATATCCATATAGAAGAATCTAGTAGGCATGGGATATGTAAGCTGAGAGGTAACGGTATACTTAAAGCAGTGTGGAGCCACATCGCTTGTCTCCTTTGTAAAGTTGTTAAGAGTCCTTGGTGGCTAGGGACAAGCTTGGATGATTGCAAACAGCTTGTGACGTATTTATATTTATGCTACATTTGTGCGATTGTGGTCGTTTGATTGACTACAACGACCAAACCGTTCGTGTAGGAAACGACAACTGTATCCTTATATTTAACCGGATGAGACAATTTGCCGCTAATCACAGGCCCAAAGAGCCAGCTTTGATGATTATTAATACTAACAGAACCATTTTAACTACAGAAACACAATGGTCTTTCAATATATGCAATAATTTTAATCGGATAACTGGACAAAACGTGAACTAAGAATTGAATCAATATTTAAATTAAAAGGTGGCGGTAGAAATAAGATAGCCATTTTGGACTACAGAATCTGAAAACATCAGTATTGTAAATTTAAAGAAATCTGGAGTATTTACATATCTCACACCATACCTCTCGTGAGGGCCTTACATATTCTCAGACTCCTACCACACACCCATCTTGTTCGACATCAGCAACACCAACGTAAACTGACCTCACTTGACCGCCGCGCATGCGTGAGCCCGGTCGTGTGTTGTTTGGCGGGACATTTGAGTTGGGTATATCAGGTTGTGGAGTCTGAGCTCCACAATGTGTTGAAGAGTTATTTATAGCACAAAAATATTTTTTCAAACACTAAAGTGATTATAATTTAAATATCTAGTAAACTATGGGATTAAAAATGTCCTTTGTAGTTTTTAATTATTCTTCAAGGGAATCCATGGAAACTAACGGCCATCTTGGATTTGCCGCCATAAGGGCAATGTTATTTTCATTAATTTCAAACATCCGCAGAAGAGTTATTTAGCGTCCAAAATATTTTTTTCTAACACCAGAGTGGTTGTAATTTAAATATACTGTATATCATACTGTAAGATTATAAATTTTCTTTGTTTCTCTTTATTTGTTTTATGAGTTAGAACGTCTAGGCTCCAAGGACTCTTAGTGTTACTCTTAGTGTACTCGTAGAACATGTCGTCGTCTATGTAGTACAGAGCTGAGACACATCTCTTGTCTATGATGTTAAGTTGTTGTAATACAGCTCTGGCTATTTAAGTGTTACCTGTTGTCGATCCCGCGGTTTTGTACATAGAACATGTCGTCGTCTATGTAGTACAGAGCTGAGACACATCTCTTGTCTATGATGTTAAGTTGTTGTAATACAGCTCTAGCTATTTAAGTGTTACCTGTTGTCGATCCCGCGGTTTTGTACGTAGAACCCGTCGTCTTCTATGTAGTACAGAGCTGAGACACATCTCTTGTCTATGATGTTAAGTTGTTGTAATACAGCTCTAGCTATTTAAGTGTTACCTGTTGTCGATCCCGCGGTTTTGTACGTAGAACACGTCGTCGTCTATGTAGTACAGAGCTGAGACACATCTCTTGTCTATGATGTTAAGTTGTTGTAATACAGCTCTGGCTATTTAAGTGTTACCTGTTGTCGATCCCGCGGTTTTGTACGTAGAACACGTCGTCTTCTATGTAGTACAGAGCTGAGACACATCTCTTGTCTATGATGTTAAGTTGTTGTAATACAGCTCTGGCTATTTAAGTGTTACCTGTTGTCGATCCCGCGGTTTTGTACGTAGAACACGTCGTCGTCTATGTAGTACAGAGCTGAGACACATCTCTTGTCTATGATGTTAAGTTGTTGTAATACAGCTCTGGCTATTTAAGTGTTACCTGTTGTCGATCCCGCGGTTTTGTACGTAGAACACGTCGTCTTCTATGTAGTACAGAGCTGAAACACATCTCTTGTCTATGATGTTAAGTTGTTGTAATACAGCTCTGGCTATTTAAGTGTTACCTGTTGTCGATCCCGCGGTTTTGTACGTAGAACACGTCGTCGTCTATGTAGTACAGAGCTGAAACACATCTCTTGTCTATGATGTTAAGTTGTTGTAATACAGCTCTGGCTATTTAAGTGTTACCTGTTGTCGATCCCGCGGTTTTGTACGTAGAACACGTCGTCGTCTATGTAGTACAGAGCTGAGACACATCTCTTGTCTATGATGTTAAGTTGTTGTAATACAGCTCTGGCTATTTAAGTGTTACCTGTTGTCGATCCCGCGGTTTTGTACGTAGAACACGTCGTCGTCTATGTAGTACAGAGCTGAGACACATCTCTTGTCTATGATGTTAAGTTGTTGTAATACAGCTCTGGCTATTTAATTGTTACCTGTTGTCGATCCCGCGGTTTTGTACGTAGAACATGTCGTCGTCTATGTAGTACAGAGCTGAGACACATCTCTTGTCTCCCTCCACAGACTCAGTGTTATAACCAGCTTGCTCGAACCACGGACCTTTGTACTGTAAATATTGTATTTATTTGTTAGCATTTTAAATAAAGTTTCACTGTAGTAGTTCTCCATTATCAGTCAGTAGTAGAAAGTCCAATTACTCGTACTTGGACAAGAATAATTGACATTTTCTCTTTGTGATAACGTGATAAACGTGGTGATATATTTTGTTAACTGAAAATTTTGTTATAAAACAAATGACAACTTCTCTCATTACAGATTACTTTGAAGTAAAGTTGGCACGGCAGAGGTCCACATAGGTACACAGATTAATCATGCATTATGTTGATGTAATATGATTTTAGCGAATTTCCCATATAGGGAATAAGCTATTACCGTAGTACTCATGGTAAGACCTGGACGCGGGACCGATTTTTTTTTCGTTTTGAGGTCCCTAGAGGCCAAAAACACCATCCGTTCAAATTCATATATATATATGTGTGTGTGTGTGTGTGTGTGTGTGTGTGTCCGTCAGCACGATAACTCGAGCAAAAATGATCCGATTTTGATGAATTTTGGTACAAACGTGTAAACGTACGTTTATTCGAACGAGTTCGCGATCCAACATGATCGGACCATGGGAACGGGGGTTTACGGGGGGTTTTATGGGGTAAAAATAGGCTTTTCCCATTTTTGACCCAAAAAACATAAAATTTAGCAATTTCTTTCCAAACCATTTTGTAGAGCTTAAAAAAACAAATAATTTAGTATATTGAAGCGTTATTATGCGCCTAATGGTTACGAAAAAAATTCCAAAAAATTGTAAATTTAAAATTCCCATGTTATTCTTATGGAGAATAAGTAAACTGTTGTAGTTTGCTTGTTTATGAACATATTTTGATCAAATTTGGAAAATGTTTTGATTTCTTACTAACTATTCACATTTTACAAAAAAAAAAAAAAAAAAAAAAACAGTTTTACCCTCCCTGATGCAGCAAATCTAAGTACTTGTTAATCTAATACTATATTTTTAAGTAGTCATTTCAGTGTAAATCCAATCAGTCAAATGGAAATTCGCTTAGTCTGCAGGTTTGCTGCGGCGGGGTTATTTTTAATTATATTTGTCTTAATTAATGGTATATCATTAGAATTTTCAAAAAATTGAAGTTTTCATTGTAAATCCCAGCTCTTCCTTAAAAAATATCCTTAAAAATCTCAACAAAAATATGAGACTCCTCAACTCTAGTACATTGCTCCTAAAATTCAGTTGTGGAGTCTCATATGTTTGTTTACAATCATTGGCATGTTCATTTTTCTTATCATCATTATTACTATTATTAAAGACGAATAGCCTACTAGGTGTGTAGTTTAAGCCGAATGTGACAGTCTAGATGCAAAGAGTTTTGAATGTGCAAGGAGATGATATGTGTAGCAAACTTGCCGCCCACGTTTAATGGTTTGATACGCTAGGGCTATTATATCTATTTTGTATAGGGTGTTTTTTTTTTGTAACTTGCATCTTTAGTTATGTAAAAACCGCAATAGATAGAAATATGCAGTTTGCGGGAATCATCTATTGACGTAGGGGGCCAAATTGTTTTGAATTCAACGTTACATTCACGTTCCCCCCCTTTCCCCCTGCCCCAAAAGGTACCCCTTGTGATATATCAAATGAAAGAGCATGAAAATAGAAAATGTTTGGTGAAAAAATTAAAAATCGGCTCATGAATTTGTGAGATAATCACCCCCTTTCCCCCTACCCATAACCTTTTTTTATAGGGAGGTACCCCTTGTGACATATCAAATGAAAGAGCATGAAAAAAGAAAATGTTTGGTGGAATTCATTTTTCATGTGATATGTCACAAGGGGTACCTTGCTATGAAAAAAGTTATTGTTAGGGGGAAAGGGGGGGATTATTTCACAAATTCATGAGCCGATTTTCAATTTTTTTTCACCAAACATTTTCTTTTTTCATGCTCTTTCATTTGATATGTCATAAGGGGTACCTTGCTATTTAAAAAAAATTAAGTTGGGGGCCGGGGCGGAAAGGGGGGGTAATGTGAATGTAACGTTGAATTCAAAACAATTGGGCCCCCTACGTCAATAAATGATTCCCGCAAACTGCATATTTCTATCTATTGCGGTTTTTACATAAATAAAGGTGCAAGTAAAAAAAAAAAAAAACACCCGGTATATTTAATTCCGTAAGCGAATTGGTCCCCACGAAATATCTCAAGCTAGGAAAAAGGTAGCATGGCTGTTGAGGATTCATTTTAAAGCTTAAGGTCCAAGGATGGTGAGAAAAATATCAGAAGTGTCAAAAATTATCCCCGATCCCGGATTCGTTCAAATTTTTATATATGTATAAACATTTGAACGAATAGTGTTTTTAGTCTCTAGGGACATCAAAATGGAAAAATGTATATCAATCCCCGCTCCAGGTCTTACCGTGCCACCAACGGTAATAGCTACTTTCCCCATAGGGAAATTCGTTAAAATTAAACTTTGTAGCAAATACTGTACAAAAACACCTTAAGTTGTATCAATACTAAGATACGCTACTAAACGTTTACAAAAAATCAAACATAATACTAAAGAAAAATGTAATTATGTTGAAAACTTACAGCAATAAGACTAAAGTCCTGCTTGACAGATAGGTCAGGACATCTTCCCCAGTGAGGCCAATGAATGGCGAAGGTTTGCAGTGTAACTGTTGTGATGCACAGTAGAAAGTAGAACACTCGAGCTGCCCTACAGGGGTCAGGGAGCACAACAACATTATAATAATAATGCAGCAAACACTGTCATGTTTCATTGATAAATCAAGCAGCAGAATAGATAATTACAATTATGTATAAGGAAGAGTAAAAACTTTTACTATGAATTGACTACAATGAAAGTTGTAGCCAGTTTTAGAGAAATATTATTGTAAATTAATTGAGCTTCCGACAGAGTGTGTGGACGTAAATTATTGATTTATGCTAAAACACCAACCAAGCCAAACTGAAAGAAAAACAACAATAACTATATTGTACAGCGTCCGTTATGCCGCATCAAATATCATAGTAAAAAATATGAGAAGAATCAAACAATCTCTGTGAGTAGCACAATCAATAATGTTTTTTTTACTAAAGAATTTTTTCCAACTGGTCCTATATAGAAGGGATGTCTACTTAATTATTCAAAAGTCAATGACATAACTAGAGGAATGCCAAAGAAGCCTTTCCTATGATTTCAATTAAAAGCTCGCATTTTATAATTATAAATGGCGATGCTTGGTACATTGCACGTAGTTTTATGACATAAAATGATCAATATAGTAGTCTATTTTACATTATATTTGGCTTAAGGTTTCTTATACTGTTTAGACACCAGGTTGTTTACGATTTTTTCTTTAAAATTGGGTTTTCATTTTTAATAGGTTTAAATAACTATTATCAAAGCATGCTTATGCAGAGACAACATTTGAAAGTGTGTTAGAGAATATTACTTGTTCACGCTTCAAAGCTACGTTGAGACATGTATATCCAGCTCGTATTTTACAGACCAAATCAACATGTCCATCGCGGAATAAATTTGAATTATTGCAGTTGTATATCACTTGGTCTCATTAGTTGTTTTTCAATCCAATGTCTGTGGTAAATTTTGAGTTGGACTGCTTAAAAAAAGAAATAAAAATTATTATTTTTATTAAAAATAGGGTTTACAATGAAAACATCTTACTTTGTTGAGAGTTTAACTATCAATTGATGTAACTTTTAGTTTTATTTTACCAGATAAAGTAAAACCTGAAGCCCCCCTCCCATGAGAGACAGGAAGAGTAGGCCACCTGTGGAAGAGCTATGGGGCAGAGTGGCTGTGGTGGAGACTTGGCAGAGATTTGATAGTCCACGGTGGCACATCTACCCGGCTCCAAATCTGACCACCGCTGTAATTTCCACATCTGTCATGATTTAGGCCTACTGATCGATATCACAATTATTATGATCTTTGTTTTTCTTTTAGTACTGGTTCAAGTTGCATTCTTATCGAGTCTATATTTACTCATCGCTTATAAAAGCTCGCATAGCGTTAAACACTATCTAAACCAATAAATTAACTGATACTAACGGTTATTTCCTCCAATTTCAGTTTTAGGTATGCACATTGACTCAGCCTCATTAAAAGAGGATTTATTCCACTAAAACCCACTGAGTTCTAAAGATAAGACAGTCAAATTTAATCCTGCATGCATTTAATGAAGTAGTTTGTACTTACATAGTGTTGTTTTGAAGCTGTAGTACGTAGGAAATTACTTATATACGGAAGTTTTGTAGCATTCACTCAGTGGAAACCAAACACCTTCGGCGAACTCGAAAACACTTGACGTTAAAGCTCTTGAGATAATATTTATCGATGGGTAATATTAAATTTCATAATCGACACTAGTATGAATCATAAAGGGAAGGGCCTAGTTGTGTATCATGCTAAATGGCTAAACTTTTTTTAAGTAAAACTGTTTAAGTTAATGATATAAAATGTTTTATTAGTTGTTATGAATAAAAGTCATGAATGAGTGTTGAATAAAAGTGTAATGAACACCAAGTGGTGTTCTTTAACATTGTTCATCACCATTACAACTACCTTATAAATAATTAATACTTGTGTTAATTCCTCAATCTGCCAGCAGTGTGACAATGGACTTCAAAACTTACATAAACAGTGGATACAAACAAAGGTCTACAGTACGTGTGGGAATTGATGCATTTTACATTTATGATTCCTCCAATACCTTAACATATTTGATACGATCAATAGACTGTTCGGTATTTGTCCTGCTTTGAAAGCAATATAAGTCTAATCGACTGTGTAGATCCGCCGAACTGGAATACACTTACAAAATGCTACTTTCATCCCATAACGCCTACACGTTCACAGAGTCAACCCGTAGACTGTAAATTAAGTGACAGAAGTTTCTTGTTTGAAGGTGACATTTTTAAACATGGGTTCACGAACTTTTTCTTCGCTGATCCGTGGTCTAAAACGTACGTGTTCTATGATTGTCTATTTACAAAGCACGTACGTGGTGTGATTGCGGCTTTTCAGTGGCTGATGATTCTGGGACTGATCTAAGACATCGGTCTTGGGTGGGTTAAAGGCTTTGACAGTCGCAGTGTGTGCTAGGAATGACGAGTCTCACGAATCGACTCAAGGGTGTAAAGTATGTTGAAAACATATTTTACAATATTTAATTGTTTAATAAGAAAATATATACATGTAAAAAGGACTTTTAAAGTTTATAGAACTTCTTCTCCAAAATACACAATACCCTTTATTTTGAAAAGAATTAAATTCAGAAAATATTCATTTATCTACTAATCAATATTTAACAATACCAAGGTTAGATTTAGTCAAACCCCCAAATAAAAAAAAAGATTAAAACTTACATTCGGAGTAAAAACACATAGCTTCCACAAACGAAACAATTGGTTTGAAGCTACAACTAATCTTAATATCTAACGATCTCTTATAGGTTTAGTGCCAAATAGTGTAAATATTCCTTTGAACCGAATATGTATATAGATAACTTCTACTCTTTATAAAAAATGGAAATTAACAGAGTAAAAAATTGCATCCAGTGGTTGGTCGGGTGATCATCTAAAATCAAGTTTAATGCTGCCATGAAACTAACCTAGATCATAAGAGAATTCCCAAAAGCTTTATACTAAGTACTAAGTATGAATAGGAAATTTACACTACTTGGACATACTAGTATAAGCCGAATAATATTATGAGTAATTCTTCCGGGTACTTATTACTGTTACACAAATAGTAGGAATAAAATGCAAAGTGTGCAGTTTTCCATACAAATATTTCTTGGATCAAAATTGATCTTAATCATTGCATATTACCCATCTTTTGCACTAATATAACACCCACATAGATATGATTTCTCACAGAGATTATGGAATGTCCAATAAAAAGAAAGCTAGTAGTTCATAAACTAACCTCTTTATCCCAAAACTTGTAGCAAAGCCTTAAGCCATTATATAAATGCGCAATACAATGACACATGATTAAAAGAAGTGTTATACCAGTTAATTAATAATTTTAATACAAACCACACTGATGCAACACGACAAAAGCTACCATTGCAGATGTTTACTCGTGATGCCAGCATAGAAGCCGTACTCAGTCATTTATCAGAAACCTATCAGTAGTCGACAAATAACTGGCTGACTGTCTGAATCATGTAACTATAGTGTTTGTCCTAGTGTCTCAGATTTACATACAGAGTACTGAGTATTTGTACTGAGATTACGTCTCAGGATTTAGCAACATGCTTAATGGCAACAATTTTCAGATTGACAGAGCACAATATGTAAGGATACCAACTGAATAGCTGCAGTGAGAAAATACTTATACAGATGAAAGTGAGATCATGTTTCTTTCACGAACATTACATTAATTATATCTAAAGTTATAATCTTATAACTTATTTTTAATTTGTGTTTTTACGCTAATAACACCTTTTTAACGTATTTTCTAAGGGTCAAAGATACAGTTTGTAGGGAGTGTAATAATAAAACACGATGATAGTTTAACAGCAGATGAAGAATTTCCTAATTTTCAATATTGAAACTACAAGTACAACAAAGTAGCTTATTCAAGTGCATTACATTAACAAAATGCTGCATCCGCAACGATATTAAGTAAGTACAGTTAATTTATATTGGAGGCTAGCAATGTTACAGACTTGCAGAGTCTTATATACAGTATGATCCGTCGACAAATCTGAGGTTCATGTTAATGGTTTGAATTGGTTTCATAATTTAAACAATGATTGATACAATTAATCAAATGAAATTAATAAAATCACTAAGAATAAAGCTGATCTTAGTCAATGACAAGGCCATTATTCCTTCGGTAAAATTCTCTGTAAAAAATTCTCGGTAAAACCTACACTTTTGGTGCGGATCCCACAAAACTATGGATTGGATTAAATAATTTTCATATTTTTAAGGACAAACGTGGTGTTTGAAAATACCCTCGCAACGCAGCCAACCTGCAGATTAAGCGAACTTCCATTTGTCTGTTTGGAGTTTCACTAAATATTACATTAAACTGGTCATATTTATTCTCTATTTAAATATCATTAAAATTAATGAGTACCTAGGTTTGCTGCTACAGGAAGTGCATTAAAGCGTGTTTTTTAGTAAAAAAATGATTGCTTAGACAACATTAAAAACATTGCCTAATTTTTTTCAAATTATATCCATAAACAAGCAAAATACAACAGCTTATTCTTAATAGGGAATAATCAATGCTCTGGAGAATAATCAAATGGAGAATCTCAATAAGATAATAAAATGGGAATTTTAATTTACAATTTTTGTTTACTTTCAGCATTTAGAACACTATATAAACTACATTATATAATCTGTACAATGCTGTATGTTTGAAGAGTAAAAAAAAGAGAAAACCTATTTTATCCCGTAAAATCCAAACCCATATAAAATCCGCGTTCCCATTGCACAATAGGATGGTGTTTTGGACTCTGGGGACCTCAGAACGAAAAAGTAAATGGGTCCTAAGGCTAGGTCTTCTTACTATGAGATCTACGGTATAGGGTTAAACAATAGATTATTCCCTATAAAAGAAATTTGCTAAAAATAAGTTATATGTTTATAAAATGACACGCAATGAAATAGAAAATGTCAATATATACTACAACTCATTAGTTACAATTAAATTTATGGTCAGCAGGGAGGAATTTCATTGTATTTGTATTTAAATTGTTGATTTGCATTCGGGATAAATTTCCCATGTGAGCGTAAATAAATAGAAGGCGCACAAATCTCCCTCCAGCGGTTTCAGTCTCTTTAAAAATAACTCTTTAGCCTTTCCCTCTAATGAAGTTTTACCGAATACACAGACATATCAATTCCGTTTCGTTTTCAGATAGTATATGACCATCTAAATTTGGTGACAAGTTCAAGTTATAAAAGGGTAATGACAAGGTTAACGTGATGCGCGCAGCTGGGCATTTTAATTAACATTTTCTGTAGGCTGCCTAGTGACTAGGTCTAATGTTGAATTAAACAGTTTACTGAAAATTAATTTTCCTCTCATTAAGTTTGATTACTTTTGCTATCGTTCAAACAACAGTTAATCGTGTTAAAGTTTTACTATAACAGTTTTTAAACATTATGCTTTCTTTGCAAAAGATGTCCAAAAATAGTGATGTAGGCAACTTGAGAGGTACGGCGTATATGTCGTAGAACATCTGTTGTTATGCGGTTGTAAAGCCAGTCAGCAACCACGATGTATCCGATATGAAGATAATACTAATGTTGAGTTGGATACAGTACCTTATACAGTAATACATTAATCATACATTATATATATATATACACACATAGATTACAAAACTATCTTCTACATTAATCTTGAAATTAGTAAGTCGATATAATAATGTAAATGTGGGTGATGAGGGAATGTGGCATTTTAAGATTAATTTTTTAACAATGGTTGTTTGGAATTATTTTCAGTAATCACCTATTATTATTATTAAGAGTTGTATTAGATAAAATGCTTAGAAGGTTCCAAACTTTACTGTAAGTTTTTTATTTAAAGGTATAAAGGGGCGTTTATATGCCCAGTAAACTTCAGTCAGCTATATCGCACAAATACAAAAATTATTCAAATTACCTATTTGGAAACATAATTATTACAATATTCTACTCAAAGTAAAATGAGACGAAATATGAGTCTATCCAGTTGACGATTACAGATTACGTGTTGTAATAGGAAACGGGTTATACGTTATACAGTATAATAATAACGATCCATTGTAATCTGGGTTTCTTAAAAATTTTAACTCGCAAAATAATCTTGTTTATTAGGGCTTGATGATTCCAACCAATAATAATGCATACTAATGGTAAGATTATTTTTCATCAA